GCGGAGGCGGATTGACTGGCGGGTCTGGGCACCGCCCACCCGTGTGTTTTACCCTCGTCCGTGGGAGCGGGGTGGTTCCCGGGGTGAACAGCTGGGAGTCGTCACCTGAGAAGGAAAAACAGAGGCTGCACCGACTCATGAAGCTCTTCACCAGCCGAGGGCCCCTCTGCACGGGAAGAGGGCCTGGGTCCCCGGCTCCACCATTACAGCCGACCTCACGGCGCAGCTGCCACGGAGCCATCGCAGCCTCTTCCATCTCGTCTGCACTTGTCCTGGCTGCACACACGTGAGAGGGGTTCCGTGCGCATGCGTGAGGGTGTGCACTGTGTGTGTGTGTCTGTAGGTCCTACACACACACACACACACACTGTAGTGTAGGCAGTCCCACACCAACAAGCAATCCTCAGGGTCCCTAGGTGAGGTCCCAGGCCCAGGCCCACCCTCCCCTGGACGCCGGCTGCTCCCTGTGCGCTGACCAACCAGCCACAGGTCGCGGGTCCCCAGGCCCGGCTGGGTGAGGAGCCTGCCAGGAAGCGCACAGGCCTCCGAAACCCAGGTCCCACTGGTGACCGAGATCACAGAAGGGAGTGAAGGGTGTCAGTCACAGCAGGGCAGGAGGTATGCAGGGCGCGGCCCCGCGTGCGCGTCTTCCCTGTGGAGCTGGCCCCGCGCTGGCCATGGAGCATCGGGTCCCCACGTAGAAGCCCCGAGGAAGGACCGGGGCCTGTCTCTGGGGGTGCGGGGGCTGCACTACATCACCACTGGCTCAGTCACTGGCCTTCCCTCCCGAGATCAGGGAGCTGCCGACAGGGCCGACCTCTCACCCCTGGGCTCCATGGCATCCAGCCCCACCCTCGGGCGGGACCCCAAAGCAACCTCATTCACACAAGACACCAGGACCACTCTCCGCAGGACCCTCCCAGGGCTCTGTGCCAGGCGCGGGCGAAGGCCTAGCACATCTTATTAAAACCACGCACCCCACGTGGCACTGCCCCTCGCTTCCACACTGAGCAACAGCTAAGCGCTGCTCACACAGCTGAGGATGAATTCAGTTTCACAAAAGAAATGGGAGACGAAAGGAGGGGCTGGTAGTTTGCTACACGTCTGTTTATTCTGCAATCGAGGTTCGGAAATGTGGGGACACAGATGGGGGGGATCTGAGGCGGCCTGGCGCCCCATTTCCTGAGGCAGCGCCTCGGCTTCCCCACACAGCAGCACAAACACAAGGAGGCAGGGGGACCAGCGGCCCCTGACCCCGCCCAGGGCCGGGGCTAGTCTCTCAGCACCAGCGGGGCCTTCACCTGCTCGGCCACCTCCTTGCCGCTCAGCGCCTCCACAATCGCCAGGGCGAACTCGAAGCTGGTCCCCGGCCCCCGGCTCGTGAGGATCAGGCCGTCCTTCTCCACGCGATTCTCTGAGTAGCTGTAATGATCTGGGCGGAAAAACATAAAAGGGTTATGTCCTGCAGGCTGCACTGCACAGTGAGCATCGCCCAGCAGTTCCATTCCTGGTCACGCATCCCCGAGCTCACATCGGCACAGGAAGTGAACACCAAACTCTGGCCAGCCCTCCACAGCCCGGCACCAGGCTCCCCGAGCCCCACGGGAGCTGCGAGAAGGGGTCCAGCCCCGTTAGGGACAGCCCAGCTGGGGCCCGACCAATGGCCACGCTAAGTTACTAAGTCGCCTGCAGCTGCACGCGGCCTCCTGGTGCCGGGAAAGGAAACGCCAATGACTCCGTTTGTCATAGAACAAATACCGACCGGTCAGTTCTGTAACCTGAGGGTAGGACAGCCCCCAATGTGACTGTAGGCCAGTGATGGCGAACCTATGACACGCCTGTCAGAGGTGACACGCGAACTCATTTTTTTGGTTGATTTTTCTTTGTTAAATGGCATTTAAATATATAAAATAAATATCAAAAATGTAAGTCTTTGTTTTACTATGGCTGCAAATATCAAAAAAATTCTCTATGTGACCCGGCACCAGAGTTAAGTTAGGGATTTTCAAAATGCTGACACGCCGAGCTCAGAAGGTTCACCATCATTGCTATAG